GACATTACGGGCGCTGCGTTTGAATAATGATAGCTTGTCTAGCGTTGTCGCGGAACAGGAACGAGAATATACCAGTATCTTGTAGAATTTACTGCTGGTATTGGTTTCAATCAGTCATTTCATCATCATCATCATCATCATTATATTAGCCGTTAACTGTCCACTGCTGAACATACGTCACTCCTAGATTACTGTAAACAGACCCGAGCAGAAGGGCTGACGGTCATTTCCCCCCCGGTATTAGTCATGGCGGATGTCGTAAGAGGCGACTAAGAAAAATTTATAATCGATGGATAGGCCGCAGCGTTCCTTTCAAAACATCAGCAAAGCGTATCTGCGGTTGCTAAGCGTTCTGATTATTGGCACCCCAAATGTTTAAATTAAATTAGAATAAAATGTAAAAATTAATATATAAGTAAATTTTTAGAATTAAACTAAATACCGTACACATATGAGTATAATTCGTCGGAATCGGAAATATTTGTCGACTGCTACCGTTGTGGGGAATTTAATACTCACCTACATTTCGCCAAATATATTTAAATACAATGTGGCAGGGTTAAATCGATTGGATGCCGGTCATCATCGAAGATTTCTTTTTTTATACCACGAAGGTAGCAAACAAGTATACAGCTCGTCTGATGGTAAATGGTCACTGTAGTTTATAAACGCCTGCAACAATAGGGTGTCACGTGCGCATTGCCCTGAAGAAAACTTAATATACCCTTTTTCCGATCTATATATAAGTCGGTAATAATAGTAAAACCAATTAAGACACTTTATATGGGACTTGCTCTTTTTTTATCAAAGTTCATAACATAAATAGAACAAATAGGTTTCCGTGTCAATTGATTATGTACTATTGTCTAATATTTTTTTTGTCTATATTATTTTTAAATATCCGATTTCGATAAGACATGCCAAGATCGTTCACTAAATATGTCAAGTACCTATAAAAAATATGTGTTATTTAAAAAAAAAATAGGTTGTTTATAATATCCATCATTCGTTACAGAACATTACGTCAAATAAAAAAAAATATGTTCCATTTTTAAAAAAGTGACTTGTCCATCATTCCTTGCAATATGTAAAGATTGAAAAATGTGTTCCATTTTTAAAAAAGTAGATTATTTATCGCACAGGACAATATGTCAAATATTAAAAAAATAATGTACGATTTTAAAAAAAAAGTAGGTTGTCGATCATATGCGCAGGGCGCTCGCGTAAAATATAATGCAAAAATTCACGTTCGCACAAAACAATACTTCATACGCCATATCGACACATCCTGTTGCGTGTTTGAGTGGCGTGTACACGCAACGCTGCCGCTACCACCTGTTAGGGACAGGATGACCGTCGTCTGAAGGGGCATTGGTGGTTACTTTGTAACATGTTTAGGGACTACCTACTAAGCTAGGTAACCTTGAAAAATGGTAGTATAAAGCTACGTTTACAATCTTAAACATACACATAAATGAATTATGAGATTCTTAGTAGATACATTACATTGACAAAATATTTGAATTTAGAACACGGGGTCGCGAGCGCGCGCGCGTGTGTGTGTGTGTGTGTGTGCGTGTGCGTGTGCGTGTGCGTGTGCGTGTGTGTGTGTGTGTGTGTGTATACGAGTAGATATTGCTTTTCAATAAATAATTGCTAATATGTTCCGCAAAACAAAACAGCAGCATCACAATATGTATATATTGGCCCAATAACGATTATGTTAAATATCTGTTATCCAATATTTATTGTCGAAATGAAGAATTCCATCAAAATTAATATAGATATCCGACCGGTACAGGCGATATCGAAATAGGTGATGACCTTTTTTTTTTTTTCAAAATGTCAAAAAGAACACAATATATAGATATTGGAGCAGTACCAATGTTACACACGCCTAATTGCTACTCTATATCTCGCAAGGTTAGGGGAAGCCATAGGTCACGTTGTATCGGAGCGGCCAGGTGGTTGGGTTTTTTATGCACCGACCGGCAGATGCTCCGCTAAGGGCCGTTTACCTCGCACACACGCGGTGCGCTCTGGTGACTGAGATGTAAAACAAATCGATAGGCTCTTATTGTCCAACTGACGATAGCAGGGTTCGTCGAGTGAAGACTGCTGATCTTTACTTGATATACAGTCGACGTGGATATAAAAGTAAATGTAATAAGTAATTTAATTTTTATAATATATAAATAGTCGTGACTAGCTTTTTTTTTTGTTTTTTTTTTTTTTTTGTTACTTTATTATATAATATATATACCCTCTATACCTGTGGTATAATACCCTAATCCTCAAAAATGCATGAACGCATGAACAGTATCATGGGCGAAACAGTATACTCTGTTATGTCCATGGTACTGTCCATGTCTATAGGCGACGGTTACCACTTTCCATCAGGTGGGCCGACAGCTTGTTTCCCATTCTTAGTTGCATAAAAAAACTAAGATGATTTAGAAATTCTAAAAATGGATACTCTTTCGCGATTAGTATTAGTACAGGGTTAATAAAGCTAATCCGTGTGGTTCCGGCATAGAATAGACCAACCCTTCTTTTTCTGTGGCCGACGGGGGGAGCTTAATTGTCGAAGGATAGGCAGCAGCGTTCTTTTTAAAATATCACCGAAGCCTAACTGCGGTTGTCAACTCTCTTTATGGGTGAGGCTGAACATAGTCAGCTGTGGACAGTTAATGGTTAATATAATAACAAAAGTAAATTATAATCAACCCAAGAATAGCCCAAAACGTTTAAACGTATTCAATCCTCACACATCCATCAAATAGTGAATTGTTTACTAAATTGATCCCGAAATATCAATACTTTTTCAAGTTCGTTGGCCGTCCTAGCCTAAGGACGTTCAGATGTTACTCTTTGCTACGGAATTCAGTTTTCAATACTACTCATACAAGGGTCATTGAACTTTTATTCCGTGACGCAGACTAGATAGACCAATAACTCGTTAATTTTGCATGATTATTGTATTGATTGTTTATACAGTATAGCTGATTATAGAATTGTGAATCTTATGAATTTAATAATTTTATTTATTTATTTATTTAAAGGAACACCAATAGCATATTGCATTATAACATATAACAAACATTAAATATAATACAATTGTAATGCACATGCCTATTATAGGTATTCACAGCATATACTTTAACATAGTTTTATACAGTGCGAGAAAATGAAGTAACAATTATAATGAATTAAATAACACTAGACTACAAATATTTTAAAAGTTGCGTTATAAGTTGATTTTGTCCAAAATCAATTTGTAATTGATTTTGTCCAAAGACTTCCGAAACGTGATAACAATTTATTTATTCATAATTAGCTTTTTGCGGGCTGCTTTTTACGCGTCAGAAGTAGGAAAATCAATGAAAACACTATTTTTAGATAGGATATAGTAAAACATATACTAGTTTTTAAGTTAGACCTTTAGGAATACAACTGCTAAAACTGCATCTAATTTCGTGCGGTAGTTTTTGCACGATGCCGGAACAATAATACAGATAGGCGGACAAATTTAAAAAATATATTGTTTTGTCTTCTTATTGCTTTTATTAAGATTATAAATCAATATAATCAATTTTTTTTTAATATCTGCCATGACAGACATATTTAAGTTACAGTTTTATTATATTAGTATAATAAGTTTATTGACCATTCATAAGAATATGATTATGAAATAACAATTGTTCTAGTTTAAACATAGAATTTCTAAAAAATAAACTTTCCATGTCTTTATACAATGAATTGAATTCCAATATATGTGTCATAGTATACTTGGATGATTAAAAATAAAAGCAAAATTATAAAAGTAAGTTACAAAGTATTCTCGCTTTTTATTTGTATATATGGTTATTTAATCAGCCCATCTCATTGTTTCATATGACATAAATTCTTTGTTTCCCTTTCAAATCAAAACCCAATTTTGTTTGTTGTCGCTGCAAATTGTAGCCTGTTTTGTCTTTGACGATATTTTTAGCTCGAGGCTGCCGTCGGTTTATTTTGGGGCTGTTAATTTACGTCATGAACGCATGTCTGTCACAATCAATATATATGTTATTTTATTTAACATGATGATAAGCTCTCCCTGTGTGGACGGAGTGACACTCCTCCACTCCTTAAACTCTCAGGGTATCGTCAGATATGACTACGGGAAACGGTATCAGTAGAAAAAAAGAAAATTTTTAATATTTTTATTCAACTTAGAATGACATACAAGGTGACGGCGCCCACCTGATGGAAAGTGGTAACCGTCGCCTACAGACATGAGCAGTACCATGGACATAACAGAGTATACTGTTTCGCACATGGTACCCCCCATGCTAGTAATTCCATCACATCTTTAAAATTTTGTGTTACGATGTTAGTTTATGACATTAATCCACCACGTGACACCCCTAGTGTTGTAGGCGTCTATAGGCTACAGTGACCGTTTACTATCAGACGGGCTGTATGCTTATTTGCCACCGTCTAAATCTCCGAAATTGCTTAATAAATTTTATTATAACCTATTGTTTTGGAACAAAATGAATTCATAAAGTGGACGTAGAGAACAAAATGTTTGTCGAATCAGTTCTTAAGAAAGGTATACCAAGTTATCTGATAAAACATGGCAACAGTAAACTTAAATATGTCATATTATAATTACGTCCAACTTCAAGAGACTCTTTAATAGTTGTCACAATCATGATTAATTTTATTATGAGGACACTAATAGGTATAAACCTAAAAATATCTTTATGTAGCTATATCGTTTACGTAATTGTTTCATAATGTGCATTGCTTATTTTGGTCACCATAATTGGTGATGAAATAGGAAATTGATTATCACCTATTAAATTGAAATTATAATAACAAGTCGTGCAATTAGCGAATCGTGTTCGTAAATGAACTTGCTTTTTGTAAACGGTATAATATTTTATATATATATATATATATATATATATATATAATAGCATAGTTCAGTTTATATACCAACTATTTCTGTTTATACCCGTGTGGTCCCGGCATAGACTATGCCACCCGTTTTCTATGAGTGTCGTGAGAGGCGAATAAGAGAGAGCGAGGGGTGGACAGCAGTGTCGCTCATAAAATATCTCCAATGCCTAACTGCGGTTTCCAATCCGCCTGCCAAGCGTGACAACTACTGGCAAAACCCTCCAAGGGGGAGGCTTTTGTTCAGCAGTGGACAGTTAAAGGCTGAAAATGATGATGATATGCCTACTATTAGTTTTACGACCTCGTTCACGTGTACAAAATAGCCCAATGTCCTCCATCCCATAAAAAAATATTAGGCATTAAGAATGAATTTCTATTGAGAGCTCGCGGTCTTTACATTTTTCTACAACTGTGATTTTACATTTTATTATATAGGTTATAACGAAACTTAATATAGCAGTTATTTAATGCAGAAAGTTAATTATTCTGTAGTTATTACGAAACGATGTAATTTTACAATGGGATAATTTGGTAACAGGTGTCTCATCACCTTAAAAATAAATAGACTTCAGGAAAATTTGTTTAATTTACTCTGATACCACGCAAACATCTGGACCGATAGACTTAATTATTGTTCTATTAGCTTATGTCAATTTTGTACACTTTGCCTTAACTTGACCATTAACTATTTATAGAATTACTCCATTTAGACCTTCTGGAACGTCATCTATACAATGTCAATTATATCAACGCACGAATTATGGTAACCAAATTATATTAATTACGCGGGTCTCTTGTCAACAATGTAATAACGTGCCTGACACTTGGTCCTTCCTTGCCCCGGTGAAAACTGGTTAGGAGCGGATGTATCCGGTTACAGTGTCACGTTGCAGCTGTTCCACGCTGGCTGGCCAGGTTTTCTATCTTGCATCTTAGCGCCATAGTTTAGAATGTCTATTACTAAAGGTATCAATCAGTATGCAAATTATATTAAGAAAAATAAATGTAATTGTATAGTAGTAAAATGTGTATGGCCGTTAGTATCACTTAGTTACTACTCATGTGAGGGTGAGGACATCGCCCTCTGGTGTCAACAATTTCTTAAACCACCGTATGCCTCAAAGATCAGAAATAATTTATTTTTATCTGTAAATTGATTCTTTTATTAATGAAAATTATAGAACCCTATTTCAGGGAAGTTATTTCGTTTCGTTTCTTGAAAAATCGTGAATAAGAAAAGATATGAGGCAACCTTTTCTAAGAATTCCCGACACTTACGTTTAAATATAATATATAAAGTTTTCTTTTATGAATGGTGTTTCAATATGTTGTTTTAAAGAAATATTAAATGCTATTTTAGCTGTTGTTATGATCGGTTGTAATCGTGAAGAGTTCTCGACAGTCGGGTAATTAAAAGTCATATTGTTGACAATCAAACGCCCACCTTGAAGATTATCAAACGTTTTTATCTATTGACCAATCTCCAGGATTTGACCGACATCTTTGACAAGCGACAAGAGATTTTGTTTAGCAATGCTTTTTTTTTACACCTTATCTTGACATTTTAAAGAGAAAGGAGAATTGTAGACTATAGATTTGAACTTTAAAGTTAGTTTTTATAATTGACTGAAGCAACCATTATATTATTTGAACGAGACTTTTAAAAGATAATTAAGAATACGCCCGAAAATGTTTTTTTTAATGGATTATAATGAAATGGTAACCCTGTCCGCGCTAATGGTATATGCTGGCGAGACACCAGGAGATGATAGGTGAGAAAAAATAGGCAGGTCAGTTAGTCCGTCGTGATGAATACACCTGGAATTCAGCACAATGATTTCCAAGGTGTACCACGTGGAGGTCGACTTGACTATTACTAACGATCCCTTTTCCCCGTCCGAAAATATTTGCTTGTAGGGATAAACAACCATTACTTGTATAGTTAATTTTAAACTTTCGTATTGTTGAAAAAAGCAGGTATGTATTTCAGTCAAATTATATTTACCTGCAAATTTTTTATAACGTTCAGTCCCGACAGTGTATTTAAAATAAATATGTAATATAAAATGAATACAGAAGAACTGTATAAAGAAATGCTTTCAAATATCTTAAAAAGATAAAGGATTTGTTAGTACTTTTCATAGATATTCAATTGTTCCTCATTTAAGTGTTAAGTTTCATAAATACCCTCATTTTATTATTTTAGTGCGCCCCATAAACCGTAACCATTTCATTATTATATTATTGTTATATAACTTATATATTCAGTTTCGTCTATTCTCTACAAACCTACACCCATTCCTAATCTATAAATTCAAAGTACTTAAGCATTTTCAAGATCATTGTTTCTTTTATAACGTATTGTACATACAGATGGGCAAAGCACCGGGTTTAAACCCGGTGCTTTGGTAAAAACCCAATAAACACCCATAAACTCCCATAATCACCCAAAAAAATAGGTTTTTACGTATTTTTTTGAAAATATGTAAGTAATACCAATAAATTATTTTTATAAATTGTATTGATCAATTCTACAATATTAAATAAAACGTTAACTAATAATATTTCAGGAAATTTTAAAAATCTATATATAATAAAATGAAAGTAATTAATTTTCAGTGTTTTCATGTTGCAGTTGATCAACATGTTGGCCTTTTGCTTCCCGTAGATACTTTAAAATTTCTTCATAACACCTCGTTCGCACACATGGCCGTATATATTTAAATTCTTGAGCCACTAACAGTCCGAAATACTCATTTCTTTTATCCTCTTCTCCATAAATTAAGCATTTAGAACAGTTTGTTTCTTCTTTCAGTAAATTTTCTTTTACTTTATCCTCGTTTTTTGTCTTTGTTGCGACGACGCTGGGTAAATCATCTGGACACTGGGTCTCACTATCGCCAAATATATTTGGAGATCGGCTTCGGCTACGGCTTGGCAGACATTTTTTTCTTTCTACAATTTTAAATTAAATTTATTAGAATAAATGCTTCGAACACACGCGATCTAAGTACCTTTTGTGTTTATTATACCTTACCTACCTAGGTATAAAAAGAGTACTTACGTAGATTTTCTTTTATTAACTGTTTTATACGAAGATCTTGATCTCTCAAATTAGCATCCATTTTACTTCCAGTGATTATCAACTAAATTAATAATCCACAAAGTATTAAATAACGTTTTTATGAAATATTTAGCACAAAAACAATACCCTTTAAATATCGATCGTCAGTAACTGTGGCTGACTTACCTATATTCTAGCAAGCAGGACTGCCAGATGTGAAGGGGAAATCCCCAATAAATTGTTGCATGTGACTGATGATGTGAGCATGTTCGTTTCATAATAAAAATGTTGCCAGGTAACCAAAAAGTCGTATGTTTTTGTGCGAATTACGATCATAATCTTTACGATCGTACATTAAAAAATAGACAAATAATAGTATGAGTACGATTTAAATCGTATATCTGTCAACCCTGCTAGCAAGACAGCGACAAAATCACGTTGCATAACAATGTAGCCCAAGCTTATATCTTATGAAATATACGGAAGAGATACGGACTTAGAAAAAACAGAAATGTTGTTCTTTGTGGAAGTCATTGATGAAATTCTATGTATTTTAGCCCGCAAACTTTCTTCAAACAAAAACAGCGCCATCTAGTATCGAGTTCTGTAATTATCTCTTTGTTTATGGATTTGAAGTAAGACCGCCACGCATGCAATACATTATGACTGGGGATTCCCCTATTCGTCGACGCTGAATATGAGGCGACGACAATCACTGTCAAACGTGTTCACTATTACTCTGACTCTGGTAACGTGACTTCCTGGTAACGTGTTAGGTAGGAAAAGCAGTAAAAAAGTGCATATTAAGGGAGCAGATTTGAAATAATATTTATACTTAACAAGAAATAATTAAAGGTAAGTGGATTTTTGAATGATACAATTATATCATGATCACTTAACAATTTTAACTTAAAATTAGATGTATTATTACAAGCTTTTATTTAGCTTGCGTTATGTAAATAAAAGTATGTAGGTATGTTCGTATGTTGATGCAATTATCCTCAATCCTCAACCGACTGGGATAAAATTTTCCATACACGTTTATTTTGGATGATAGTGCATAGTTAGCTGAGAGTCGTCATTGGATAATAATGGTGGATAGCCTAAGATGTGTACTAGATATTTATTTTTAACATAATATGCGTAAGTACCTAATCGAATTAAAGAAGTTGCTGAGAAAAATACAGAACAATACGATAATAAACTAGCGTCTGCGTTTAATCCTCCGAGGAGATGTAATTTTACAAAGGTTTTTTGTATTTATTTTATTATTTTTTTAATAAATTTATTGTAAATAACAAGAAATAATCATTGTAAAAAAATAGGCACTCTATTGTTGAATTTTCGTCAGACCAACTAATCATCGTTCATTTTTTTAGGTTCAATGGGGAGACCTAAAGATTTACGCATATGGGAGCACTACCGTACTTTACCAAACAAGTCTGTTTCTTGCAAGCTTTGTAATAAGGTCTACAAATTCAGTAATGCTGCCAAAATGCTTCAACATCTTATCACTTGTCCAAAATCTCCAGAAACATTAAAAGACTCTATGAAACTTATAAAAGATAGCTCGTCCAAAACCAAAATGTCTGGACTGTCAGAGATAGAGACAAATGATTCTTTTATAAGCCCCTCGTCGTCTGCTAACACTACAATAAATGCTGAGTTTCAAGACACCGATGATCATATAAAAACAGAATTAGCGAGAGCTATATTTGTAACAGGGACGCCATTATCGATGGTGCAACATCCTTTATGGATACAATTTTTCGAAAAATTGCAACCAAAATTTAAAATACCTTCACGTAAAGCTTTAGCGACAAAATACTTAGATAAAATATATAGAGAAATGCGTTTTGAGTTAAATGAGGAACTAAATGCTTGTAGTTACTTACACCTTCAGTGCGATGGCTGGTCTAATTTAAGAAATGAAGGAATAATAAACTTTCTTATATCAAAACCTCAACCTGTATACGTTAAAAGTTTGAATACAGAAAGTAATCCTCACACTAGTGAATACCTTAGCCAAGAAGTTGAAAAAGTAATGAAAGTGTATGGAGCAAATAAGTTTCTTGTACTTATTGGCGATAACGCTAGAAATATACAAAAGGCATTCGAATTAACAAAACTCAAATATCCACATGTTGTTCCTCTCGGTTGCTGTGCACATATCCTTAACTTGTTGTGCCAAAATATTGTAAAGATACAAGAAGTAACTGTGTTTATTATGCAAGCCATAAATATAATAAAAACTGTTAAAAGGAGTCAACGATTAAGTTCCTTGTTGATAAAATCAAGGCAGGGTGAAGATTCTACACAAACACTAAAATTGCCTTGTGCTACAAGATGGGGAAGTCATGTTACTTCGTTAAAAAGTTTGAAAGCAAATAAGATAGCTTTGCAAATATTAACAGTTAGAGAAGATGTGGTAATTTCAAGAGATATTAAAGATTTAATTCTAAGTGATGATTTCTGGACGAAGACAGGGGAATGTATAAGTATTTTGGAACCAGTCACTGAAAGCATATTTTACTTAGAGAGCGACCAGAATCGTTTGCATCGCACATACATTACATTTAGAGATGTACAAGCTAAGATACGTTTTGCATTAAATGAGATTTCGACATTGAGCGAAGAAAGCAAACAGCAGATTCTAACATCAGTATCTTCAAGATGCAATATGGCAATGAGGCCAATACATTTTGCAGCATATATTCTAGACCCCAGGACTCTAGGAGTCGAACTTACTCAAGAGGAAGAACTTAAGGGTATGGAGTTTATCTACAATTTAAGCCAACACTTAAGTTTGTCAAATGTAATGGCAGATTTGGCGTGTTATAAAGCTAAAGAAAACTTTTGGGCCAGAGGATTTGTATGGAGCTCATTAGATAGCATTGAGCCCCTAATATGGTGGAAAGGTATTTGTGGTTCCACTGAGTTAAGCAAAGTAGCGATTCGTATTCTATCAGCTCCCTGTACTTCGGCAGCCACTGAGCGTTCCTTTAGTATCCAAGGCTACATACATAATAACAAAAGAAATCGACTTACAACTGAAAGAACTGAAAAAATTTCATTCATTTGTTATAACTGGAATCTTAAACATAAAGCTGAATGCGAGGACATTCAGTTTAATGAAGAAAATACCTTAGAAGCTTTCATTGAGCAAGTAAATGAACATAACAGTTTAGACGAAATAGAGCCTATCGAACCTATACAATTCATCGCTTGTAATAACTCTGAATCTGACAGTGATTGACTGTAGTTTTACATTTTACTTTCATCTCTTTCTTAATAAACTCAAAATCAAATTAAAAGTTTTTTATTCTGTAGGCTGCATAATAATATTGTCTATGTCCAGTATAGTGGACGTCTTGCGGCTGAGATGACGATGATGAAGTACAAAATCATAAACACCCAAAAATTTGGGTGTTTATGGGGTTTAAACCCAATAAACCCAAAACACCCGGTTTTTACCCACCAGACTTTAAACCCACCCAGGTGGATTGCCCATCTCTAATTGTACATTGTTACTGGCTAGTTACACTTCCCATAACAACATTGTTCAGACGGAATTTTTTTAACCCAAACAACATGACGAATTTAATGCATCGCAAAAAGGCGGCCACTTTGAAAATTTGCCATTAAAATGCGGCAGCTGGTACTTTTTTTTTTTTTGTAAAAGTTACCGCGATGTATTTACCACCTGAAAGTTGTTTTGCCCGCTATCGTTAACTACCGGGTCCATTTTTTCTTATCACGAAAAACTCCCATATCTAAAATTAAAGTATTCAATATTCGAGTGTATTTATAAATTTTCATTAAAATCGTTTGGGCGTTTATCATGAATGAACATGGTGACACAGCATTTTTATATCTCTACTAATGTTATTAAGAGGAAAGATTTGGTTTTTTTTTGTTTGTTTGTGGACGGATGGATAAACTTAAAAACTATTTAACCAATTTAAAAAATTCTTTCTATTTATAGTAAGCTACATTATCAGCGAGTAACATAGGTTGTCTTCTATATCCCGTGCGGAGTCGGAGTCGGGACGCTAGTATTTAGATAAACAATGGAAAAATCGTATATGACCCTTGATAGGTACGTTTTGTTATTATTGCCGTGGGCTTGTTTCTAGAGCGTAAGAACTAGGCAGTACAAATTAGTTAGACCTTGTAACAAGTGGGTTATGTCCACAGTCTGATTATAATGTTCTCTAATCTGTATTATGGGAATCAATTGATGCAGGTGGCTCTTCTTAGTATTTGACGATTTTGGTGATGTAGTGGTTTAGCGCATCGCCTCACCCACGGGGATGGTCGCAGGTTCGATGCTCCACACAATATATTTGTATTTACAAGTGTGACTGTTTGCATTGTTCTACATGTTTTCTATGCATAAATGTGTATGTATGTTTGTCAGTCGTCTACTACCTAATAGTACAATCTCTACTTAGTTTGAGACGGCACTATGTAATTTTTTTTTATTTATATTATTTGGCAAATAAATAATTTCTTATTACACTTAGTTTATACATATTAGTAGAATACAAATCAGCAAAGTTTCCACAAGTAAATAGGACATTTAACATTGAATAGAGAGAAATACCAAATACCCACTCAATAGTAAAAAGCAAGGCAATATGACAGAGATAAGGGAATTAAGTAACTATAAATACATAACTAGGTATAGATAACTTCTTAAAGATATTTCCTGTAGATAAACTTCTTACAGTTTAATAGATCTATACTAGTAAATTTAATATTATAATTATTGCCAGATCTGAACAAAAATGTTTTACTAGCATATTTTGTTTTTATATTGGGTACAAAGAAAAAGTTTTAAAGGCGTGAAGTTATTCGTGGGCATCTAAAATTAATATTTAATTAAGATTTAATATTTATTTATTTTTATTTTTTTTATACAAGTTAGAATGGCAAACAAGCTTATGTTCTACTTGACGGAAAGTGGTAACCGTCGCCTATATCGTCATAGTCGTAGAATATTGACGGATCTATATATGTAATATTTGTCAGATCCGTCAGTATTCTACGACTATGACGATATGTCCAATGGTATTTATTTATAACTAACTTTTACTCGCAACTTTGTCCAGCGTGACCAAGATACATGTTAAATCCCCTTCTCCATTCTATGGGATAGTACGTGTAAACCAGGGGAAAGAAGTTATTACTAATTAGCTCTAATAGCCCCCATTGCTAGCAATGTACCTTATCAGGTGGGTGACCTCCTCCACGTAGTTCATTCTGGAAATCATCATGGTCAATTCTTGTACAATGTCACGATGGCCTAACTGGCCTATTTTCATCCTCACCTATCGTCTTTCAGTGGTGCCCTGCCAGCGTATACCGATAGCGCAGAGTTAGGGTTGCCATTCTATTCCCATTAAAAAAAAGTAGGTGTATACCAAACTTCATAGTCAATCATTGTGAAGTTAAGGCGTTAAGAGGTAACAAACAAACAGTCAAGTTTTTTTTCATATTGTTCATAATCTTCATGCCCAATTATCCCAATTATTTGGGGGAGGGCATAATATGTTTAATAATATGTCATAACTAGCGACCCGCCCCGTCTTCGCACTGGCGCAATGCTGATACTAAATAGCGTCGCCGGCCCCCCATTACGTTACGACATTACATTAGAAACCTCTAAAATTATCAGTGTTCCTCTACTTACTATATTATGCATGTATTATACATATAAACCTTCCTCTTTAATCACTCTATCTATTAAAAAAAATATGCATCAAAACCCGTTGTGTAGTTTTAAAGATCTGAGCATACATAGAGACAGACATGAATCGACTTTGTTTTATACTAAGTAGTGATGATATTATATAATATTAATAAAAATTATATAATTTTTTTTATGCAACCTAAAATGGCAAACAAGCTGACGGCCCACCTGATGTAAAGTGGTAACCCTCGCCTATAGACATGAGCAGTACCATGGACATAACAGAGTATACTGTTTCACCCATGATACCCTCCATTGCGTTGCCATTCCTGAGGACTCGGGTGTTATTCCTCTATATCCTGTAAATTCACGCCATATCTCTATCATATATTTCAAACCGAAACACAGCCATGCAAACACAACTGCTTCACGGTAGAAACACGAATGGGACAGAGGCACCCAAGCAATAGACTTTTGTACAAAGTCTCCCTCTGGTAATTTATATATTATTAACTTTTAAAGCCAATAAGAATTTTTACATCTTAGTTCACTTCTCTTTTTTTTTTTTTTTAATTAGACGTTGTAAACTAGTTTTATTTGTTAATGCTTGTGTATAACCACTGTGGAAAATAGGTCTGTAATTATGAAAAGAAATCAATACAGTTGCCACTCTCCGCAAACATACATTACCACGCTCCGTTATGTTATATCATCCGGCGACCTTCTGCCTCGCTATCGTGTCGTGGTATTATTGAATAAAGAGCATTATTTATACGGTTGCATGTCTATCACGTTATCTACTTGTAGATGCATTTCCTTAAATATTGAGTTTAAAATAAATTTGCCCTTTATAGGATAAGGTATCGGTGATATTGCTCGGTTGTCTGAGAAGGGTGTCGTTCGATGCGCTTTAATGGGAAGGAGGGTGCTTAATACCTACTCGCTTATTTTTTTATTTAATTTATTTATTCTTTATTGACCACATTACAAAAAAATATTGGTACAAAAGGCAGACTTTATGCTATATAGCATTCTCTCCCAGTTAACATTTTTTTTATATATATGAGTTTCCTCTTGTCGGTGCAACTTAATTCATGCATTATCTTCCAGCCAGCTCTATTCCAGGCCATATCTCTGACCTCCCTATACGACATGACGCCTAGTGTTTCCTTTATCTGTCCCATATTTGTTTCTCGGTTTATCCTTTCTCTTTTGCATTATGTTTTTCCTGCTAATATGCTCTTTAAAAAATTGACATTTCGTATAAGAACTTCCATGGTAATAATATAAATATAAAAAATACAGTAATTCAATTAAAAAAATAAATATCTATTTCTACATATCCTTACTATTATTATAAATGTGAATGTGAGTTCATTTGATTGTTTGTTTGTAACACCATAGCGCTTGAATGGTTCGACATATGGCCATTAAAATTGGTATATACATACTGTATAGGATGGGTTACTATTTATCCCGGTCACGCGGTCTAAATTGCGGGTAAATGCTAGTAATTCAATATTTTCCTTCCTCTGTAAATAATCCAGTCCAAAATAGAAACATCTCTTTTATAAAGTCGGTTGTTTTAATATTACAGCAGTAAATAAACAAACGGTTACGGCGGCCTACATTATAATCAAATATAATTATAATTTCTCTTGCATCCTTGAATTTCTCTTTGACTTAATCCCTTGATGTACAAAATATTCTATCAGGTGCTTATAATACAGATTCTTAATGAAATAGACAATAAACTGTGTTACCAGTGTAATGTTTGCAAGTGTTTTAACTTAATTCTCTTTGTTTCAGCCTACGGCAAGGTGTTTCTAGTGAGAAAACGTTGTGGTGTAGACGAAGGCAAATTATACGCGATGAAAGTATTAAAAAAGGCATCCATAGTACAGAAACTGAAAACTGCCGAACACACCAGGACGGAAAGACAGGTAAATATATATCTATTGTTTATCCAAGTCGTTAAGTATATCATCGTACACAGCTTTTAACTGTCCACTGATAAATATGGGCCTCTCCATTGGGAGTTTTAGTCATTAGTTGCCACGCTTGGCAGGCCGTTTGGCAACCGTTTGGTGATGTTAGGAAAGGGACGCTACGGCTAATTTCTCGGCCATTAAGTTCCCTTGGTCTCCTCTTACGACACCAACTGGAAAGGAAGTGTTGGCCTATGTCGGGACCACACAAGCTGATGTCTCTACCTATTTCTTTAAAAGAATACTTTGAATGAGTTTTATGAATATTAGTTTCGACTTACAGTCTCATTCAGAAAAAATCTTATTGTAGATTCAAAGGGCTCCTTAGCTAAGATGACCAGTAACACTATTGTACTTTTATAACAGAACTGTATTTGTAAACACTCAAGCCCTCAGTAACTAAAATAGGTTTATTGAAGGATTTACGTTATTTTTTTGCAAACTTGACGAGCTCTAACCATAGAACCATAACGCTGTTTTATTTTGTAGAAAATTGTAATCTTTAATACTAACTACCGTTTGGTTTTAGCTTTACGACTAACCCAATATGTGAGGGGGGAAAGGGATTGTTAGTAATGGAGGCTGAGAATCCTATTGCTAGCAATATACCCAACCAGGTCAACCTCCTCGCGGTTCTCCCTGGAAACTATCATGGTTAATTCCTGATGAATTCATTATGATGAGTTAACTGGCCTGTTTTCATTCTCATCTATCACCATTCACTGGTGCTCCGCCAGCGTATCCCGTTAGCGCAGGCGGGGTTACCATACCATTTTCACCCATCAAAAAAAAAACATATGATACGTTACTAGTCTGATGTTATTTATTTAGAGATTTTTATATAAAACAGGACTGTGCCAATCTCCTCTTTCTTTATGATGACCGTTATTATTTGAGCATTACTGTGACCAATGGTCTTTGTCGACAGGTTCTGGAAGCAGTGAGGGCATGCCCCTTTCTGGTCACTCTTCATTACGCCTTCCAGACTGATGCAAAGCTACACCTAATCTTAGGTAAGTGTAATTAATAATTTAATATAATGTAATAGTAATTAAGCTGGAATTTCTTAAATATTGAATATTTGTTGTAACCCGTGTGAATTAAAGAAAGAAAGAAATATTTTTTATTCAAGTAAACTTCAATTCAAGTATGTTTGAATAGTCTAATTTTTGCGATTCTATCGCCCATTCGAAACGTGATATTTCAGCTGAGAAAAACGATAAAATAATTATGCTAAAACTTACATTATGTGTTAATTCAAATGGACTATCTGTGTATACTAAATTGTATTCAAATCTACTTAGTCGTTTAAAAGGAAGTTTGATGGATTTATCTGATAATATTTTTTTGTTCCCAAGTATCAAGGTTATTTTTTAACTTAGGTTATACTTTGTTTTGAATTTTGTGATTTCAATAATCTCCGCTCTGCCTTGTTAACTTTGGCTAGAATTTTTGGGGCTTCTCTTTCTTCTTTCTTTCTCTTCTCTCAAATGTATAGATATTCTGAATATTAACAACGACTTCAATCCCGGAAAATTAATATAGGAATTAATTATACTAGAAAAAAAATTCTTCACTTCGATCTGTCACATAAAAAAAATAACATCTTTAAGTTGCATAAAAAGAACGTTCCGAATAATGAGATTAAACCGTTTTTCACTGTTTTTTTCTAAGAAATACATTTTTTTTTTGTTTTTATTCTTTAACTGGTACAGTAACTAAATCCTTAATGTTGGTAGGTAAGGTATACATTGCAACGTACAATCTTTGGTACTACCTAAAAAGTCGAACCGATCCCATAAAGTTCGTACGTCGACCCAATACGTCGGGATCTTGCAGCCTACCCGTTCCAATTGCGTCACAGTTTGAACACCCCAAGTTCTTTGACGTTGCCCCGGGCAAAAACCGCAGGTCACATTGAGATGAACCGCGTTTATACGTATTGGGGCAATAATATAGTCCTACATGTGTTAAACGAGATTAGTTATTTATTAGCTACTAGCTATTTTCCTATTACCTCATTCATAAAAACCCCAAATTTCTCATAAACCTATTTTAGTTGTTGAACTGTTTTGTCTCTTTCTTTTACACTAAATTCCCAATTTGAAAGTAAGTGACAAAACAGTGTAACAGTTAAAGTAGATTTGTAGAAAGTTTCAGTTTTTATGAAAAAGAGGGTTTTTTTTTACTTTTCGATAACATTTCGTCAATATTTCTTTTTTTGTCGTAAATTTTCCAGGTTAAATTTTATTGTCTTTATCGTGTATATAATAATAATATATATATATATATATATATATATATATATATATATATATATATATATATATATATATATATATATATATATACTATGAGATAAAATGTAGCCTATGTTTTTCTTCGGTAATATATAATATAGCAATATCTATATACTGGTTTAATAACGAATATGTTAAAAGTCTGTTATCCAAATATATATATATGTGACCTTTTTTTGCGATCATTGATCAGAGAAACCCAATATATGTATAGATATCAATATTGTATGTCTTTATAAGATTTAGACTAAAAAAATAACTCTTTAGTCATAATAAAATTATTATTGTTATACTACTACCTTACGATTAATACGGAAATCAACTCTGTCGTTTGCAAGAAAAAAAATCATCAAAATCGATTCAGTAATTTCGTAGATTTCACATAAAATACACATAAAAAATACCCACTGATAAATTGAAAATTTACTTCAATCATGAATAACCTAAAATCACTAGACTCCATCTAACAAGGTGTCATTTGAAACGATTTTGTGGATCACACTATCCGTTACAGATTTATAATTGCGTCACAGTCTAAGGACCCTAAGTTCTTTGACATTGTCCCGGGCATAGACCGGGGGTCACATTGAGACGAACCGAGTTTGTACACGTATTGGGGCAATAGTTAAATAGATAGATAGATACTATTTATTGTTTCCTCCAAAAGATTATAACAATAAAATCTACCAGAGGGAGACTTTGTACAAAAGTCGATTGCTTGGGTACCTCTGTCCCATTCGTGTTTCTACCGTGAAGCAGTTATGTTTTCATGACTATGTTTCGGTTTGAAGGGTGGGATATGGCGTGAATTTACTGGGTACAGAGGAATAACTCCTGAGTCCTCAGGAATGGCAACGTATGGGGGGTATCATGGGTGCAACAGTATACTCTGTTATGTCCATGGTACTGCTCATGTCTATAGGTGACGGTTACCACTTTCCATCAGGTTGTGTCACCTTGTTTGCCATTCTAAGTTGTATTAAAAAAATATATTATTGATACAATCAATTACAAGAAATGATCAAATTAATTAAATGATAAAAATTAGAGGCGACCTTATCGCTAAAAACGATCTCATTCAAGCAACCTTTGGATGGAGAGGACTTTGCGATTCCCTATTTTTTATTTTTAATATATAATTCCTTTTAATAAGAGGCTATATCAATTCTCACTCGTTTCTGATGTTTTTAACTTTTCTTACTAGCAGTACCTACTTGCATTCTATAAAATTATAAAGTGTCACAATCACATGGGTCGCCTGGAACTCGAGCTAGGCTACTCTGTGTTGTGGAAAACTAGCCAACGGATATCTGGGGTTGCAATTCTCAACATTCAGACCTGAGCTAAATCAAAATAGTTTATTAAAATAGGAATCAAACCTGGGACCTCATTATACAAAGCAGTGTGCCTATCGCATCGTTACAGAGGACTTACTTTTTTTTTATGAATTATGATGTGTACAGTGTACCTATCAAGACTTACGTGTGTATTCTACACACGTAAGTCTTGATAGGTACACTGTTTCCAGACTGCATTTAAGGTATAATTTAGACAAAAAAAAACCTGGAGTGGCATACTAGTTGATATCCCACATGATGGAGATTGTGCGTCTCCGTACCCCGTAATTTCTCAGACACACCCCACCCTTTAAAACACAATCAATACGAGCACAGCCGCTTGGCAACAAACACGAGTGTCACAGACGCGAACGATCAAGGACTTTTGTTCAAAACCTCCCTCTAGTAAATTAACATATTAAAATATTTTTACATCTTTTCCCAACAAAACAAACACTATTGCAATGACGTAATTAAGCGTTATGACGTCATAGTGAGAGTACCTCTGAGTCGAAATGTGGCATGACCCCTTGACCGGTCACAGACAAGTTGATGGGGTCACATTCATTTACAGACTTTCAGATCTTTAGGAAAAGTGATATAACTGAAACTTTAATATTTTACTTAAACTATTTTATGTAATATAAATTTAACTAGGCACTGCTTGTACATAGAAGATATTTTTTATATTGCCTACATTCCAGTGATACTCTCCAACTATCTATTCCCTCTCATCGTACGGGTTTCGTTTCAAATTCTTTTCTCTTACATTCTTCACGACTCTGGAGCGCGCTTCCCTAATTTCACAATTGTAGTCGATTTTTTTTTGTGGACCACAATCTTAATTATTAATACTACATATTACTCGTGACTGTAAGGTTTGGTCTCATAGATATTTTATCAAAATCGGTTATGTAGTTTTTAAATCAACTGGTTTTATCACAATTGAAGTCGATTATTTTCGTAGATAGATTTCTCAAATTATTACAATATTTTTAATTGAAGTTAATAAGTGCTTAAAGAAAACATAAATGGAGTTTTTACAGAAAAATATCTGCTTGTCATAATTTAATTTAAATATAATTAACTCTAGTGTTAAAAGTTCTTGTCGTTGACGAGATTCGAACTTGCGATTGCGGTCTGTAAATCTGGGTAGTATATACCACTGAGCCACAATGACATGTTATGGAAATATTGTTTTTGTTTTTTTAAAAGAAAACAACCAATTGCTAAAGCAGTAAGGTATGAAACGGTTTGCTTGCGTAACACACCTTGACCCGGTTACCGAAGTTAGAATCGAACCGGCCCCTCATTACTCCCATATTGGCCGATATAGTGATTTCAGTTATGCCTTCATTTATCTAAAACGTTTTCACCACAAGCAGATTTCTTAGAAGTCGTCTGCTTGGGTACCTATGTCCCATTCGTGTTTGTACCGCTAAACAGCTTTGTTTAACATCATAGAGTGGGGGGGGGGGGGATTGTTAGAAATGTGGACTACCAGTCTCATTGCTAGCAATATATTCTATCAGGTCGATCTCCACGTGGTCCCCCCTGGAGACCATCGTGCTGAATTCCAGGTGTATTCATAACGATGGGCTAACTGACCTGCTTTTTCATACTCATCAATTATCTCTCACTGGTGCCCCGCCAGCGTATACCGTAGGCGCAGGCGGGGTTATCACTCCATTATCCTCCCTTAAAAAAATGTCATAGAGTTCTCAGGAATGGAACACATGTCCGCGTGACTTCTCTGTATTCGCTGACCGGGAAAAAGAAGCCTGTGTTCTTCTCCATCATATTATAGTAAATGCATATCAAATTTCATAGTGATTGGTTAAGCCGTTAAAGGCAACAAACACACTTTCACATTTATAATATTAGTAAGGATTATTAGACATCATAACCTTAAAAAAAAGAGCATATTCCTTTTTAAAAAGCCGGCAGCACACCTGCAATGTTGTAAACCGTTGGTGTTGTGGGTGATTATGGGCGGCGGTAGTCACTTACCATCAGGTGAGACGCATGCTCGTTTGCTCCTTGTGGTATAAAAAAAAATCTAGCAAAACACGGTGCACGGTTTTTTTTAAATAAAACAGAAGTCACGTTTCTCGATATAATATAACTTTCTATAATTGTGAGATTTTTTTTTAAATCGCGGAAGTATTTTTTGAGTCAGAGCAAAAATAATCAAAAAATCAAATCTTTCCTCTTCATAATATTAGTAAATTATTAATACATGAATTATAGAAACGATGATAACCGAAATGTATTTATTTACTAGTGTCCCGCCCCGGCTACGCACGGGTGGGCATTCTTTAGATTGATATAACTTTTTCATTTATGAATCGATTGAACAAAAACAAAGTCACTAAA